AGAAAGCTGGCAGCGTGTGCCTGGGATGGGAGAGACCAGGCTGCTGCCCTCAGCCGATGTCAGGCTGGGTGGACACGCAGAGCACAAGGAGCTGGACAGACAGAAGGACACTGTAGTCTCCGCCCGGGCTGCAGTTTAGAATCAGAGAGCTGGGTGGGGGCCTTGGAAAGGGGCTTGGAGAAGGAAGAGGGTTCTCTGAGGAGATCTGAAGGGCTGAGCTCCCGGAGAGGGGCTGGGACACCAGAAGGGGCAGGAGCACGCAGGAGAGCCCAGGGCCTGGTGGTGTGACGGGCCGCCCACCCCCAGGCTGTCCACTGGCTGGGGAACGTGGCCTGGGAATGGGGCAGGGGCGGTCATGGGGAGTGGGCCTCTGGGCCTGGGAGGCGTGGTCAGTGCCACGGGCTCCGGAAGGTGGGGGAACAGCCCTGGGAGGCGAGGGCAGCCCCGCGAGCAGGCTGGCCCGAGAGGCCCCGGCTAGCTGGCGAGGTCGTGCGGCGGAGACAGCTCGCAGCCCAGACCCTGCGCACGGGGCGGGTCCTCCCAGAAACGCCCCATCCAAGGTCATCCCAGCGCTGTGCAGACCACCTGTCAGGAAGCAGCACCTCCTCCTCGGGTGCTGGAGGGTGGAGACACGCCATTCGCTGAACCCCGAAGACAGGCCTGGGGAGGCTCCCTGCCTGCAGCAACACAGGCCTTGCCCCTCTGGGGCCACGGAGAGGGGGTGGTCTCTGTATCTGTTTCCTTCCTTTGCTCTTCCCTACAGATAAACATCCTCAGGACCCCAGAATGTCTCCAGGTGCTCACAGAAGGCACCTCGTGAGTGACAGGGAACCCCGTGGCAAAGCCCCCCTATTTATAAGGTAGCCTCCTGTAAAGCTGCCTGTGGGTGGGAGAGGTGTCCTGGTACGTCCCCTGAGGCTGCTGTGCACACACGATGCCTGTGTCTGTGAAACTGCTGCTCACACGGGAAACACTGGGCTGGAGGCCAAGCCACAAAGCTATGGATCACGTTTTCTTCAAAATTAGAAACAGCCCTTACTTTTTCTTTTCTTTTCTTTTTTTTTTTTTAAAGATGCATTTATGCATACAAGAGCTGGGGTGCAGGCCAGAGGTGTGGGGTGGGGGTGAGAGCAGTCACCAGAGACAGAGTGGGGAGCAGAACAGGCAGATCCACTGAAATCCACTGCTGAGGGGAGCAGCGGGGAGACAGGAGGGGTCTGCTGTGCCCTGTGGGTCGCTCCCTGGCCGGGGATGGAACTCAGGCCGCAGTGGCTGCCTAGAAATGGACAGTGCTGAGACTTAACCCCTACGCCACCAGGGAGGCCCAGCCCTTACTTTTCTTTCAAGAGGACTTCCTAAGACCAGGACTCAGAGTTTCTGTGCTGTCACTGGGTTCCCCTGGTTAACGAGCTGCTATCAGATTACAGGCGCACAGCGAGGGTCTCAATGACGGACACTCAGCCCCTGTCACCTGGGAACGGTCCGACGGCGCCCCTGTCCAGCGCGGGGCCCATGATTGCTGCGCATGTCCCATGAGCAGGGCCTGGTCCACCTCAGCACACCGCCGGGCTGGGGCCGACGCTGGCACCCCTGCGGCCTGGCTGGAGGGACTCCAGAGGAGCTGATCTCAGTCTGACTATTTTAGTGAACGCCAAGTCAAGGGAGCTGATTTCAGCGACTCAGCCCTTACAAAAAATGGTGTGAAGTAGTTTCAATTAATGCCTCATTTATTTTTCTTTCAGAAAAAAGAGTCTTGGCAATGGATGAAACTATTAAAAGCATCGCGTTGACTTACAGCTTCTTAAAGTGCTAATGCTTATTTTGGGGGTGAGGATGACTCTTGTTCTTGAACTGAAAATTATTTTGAAAGTAAAGTCGGAGATGGAAGAGGCGAGGAGCCTCTCCCTCGGGGAGTAAGCAGAGACGTCCCTTCTCTGGACACGGCTGTTCTTTCCTGCGCCGTGAGGACTCTGCCCCCAAGAGCCTTTCCACGTGGTCTGGGATACTCCAAGACCCTGGTCGTGTGTCACCCGAGTGATCCCTTGCCCAATGTAGACATTTTTTTCTTCCACTCGCCCTTGGAAAGCAGGGACACGTTCCTGACAAGGTGGACATATTTTTTCTCTTTTTCAATTTTATATTTGTGGTAACACCGATTTACAACACTGGATGGGGTGCAGGTTCACACCCCCACAAATGCATCACAGCACCCCCGCCACGAAGCCACCAGTGACCCCCTGCCGCAGTCCAGGCTCTGCTCTCCCCTTTGCGCCGCCCTATTTTTCCTCTTCTTTTTTTTATAGAGGCATGTTATTTATTATTTATTTATTTATTTATTTTGTTTGTTTGTTTGTTTTGTTTATACATGCACTGGGTACAGTCAGAAGCGCGGGAGGGTGAGAGAATTCACCAGAGCCAGAGCGGGGAGCAGAGCAGGCAGAAGGACCGAAGGACACTGCTTAGGGGAGCAGCGGGGGCAGGAGAGGTCTGCGCGCCATGAGGGACCCTCGCCTGGTGGCTGGGGATCGAACTGGTGCTACAGAGGCTGCGGGGCAGCTTCGCAACCCAGCGCTCAACCGTTGCGCCACCGGGGAGGCCCAGCAGCTGTTTCATTCTTAATTAAAAAAAAATAATAATAAAATAAAATAAAAACAAGCACCAAATCATTTTTAAAAGAACCCTTTGAAAAACCACCAAACAAACAAGACAGGAAGTGAATTTAGGGTGTTAATTAGGGGGACAGGTGTGTAGAAAAGCAGCAGAAGACAGGAGAGAGCAAGGGGGGGTGGGCTGAATCTGTGCTCACAGCTCCTTATGGATTCAGAGGGCATTTCACAAGGTGACCAGCCTCAGGTTCACCTCATGAATATTCACCACCAAGGGGTCCTGCTGCAGAGCCGGGAGGTGTCTGCGGGCTGGGCTGCGCTGAAGCATGTGGGGCCTCGTGCTCACAGAGGTGGCTGAGCAGCAGAAGGCCCATAAGCAAGTGCTTACGGCAGCCCTTGTAGTTCTTTTTAATAGATGCATGTGATTATTATGCACATTACCGCTCCGGAAGAAAAGGAGGTGTTCGAGTGCACCCAGAAAGAAAGGAAAGGAAACAAAATTCGTCACGGCGCGTGCCCCAGAAGACTCGCTGTGCCCATATGCCCAAACCTGCTTGGTCTCTGCTCGGGGCTGCGCTGGCGCAGCTTCTGTGCGGGCAAGGGTAGATGGTGAACTAGCTGCATCACCACAGAATGCAAGAGAAAGACAGACGTATGTGCCTTTCTCTAAGGCTTGTATTCACAGGCACAGCTTATCACCAGAGGGTCCAGCCTCAGCAAACAGATGCAACGACCTTGAGTGACTGACCTTGACTGACCTTGAGCTGAGTCTCAAGGCCAGCAGAAGCCAGGAGACACAAACGCACAGGAGGGAGTTATAGAAATGCAAAGCTCCACGGTGCCCCCGTGACTAGCCAATGAATTTTGCATGTCCACATTTCTTGGCCCTTAGTCTACTCCTTAGCCAGGGAAATTCAGCTTCCATGTTCTCAACCCAGGTTTTAACCTCACTCCTTTTCCCAACAGGGAGACAGATTTCAGTTGATCTCCTGCCACACCGCCAATCGATTTACAATAAAGCTGCTTTCTTTTCTCAGAACCTGGTGTCCAGGGATTGGCCGCTAAGCAGTGAGCCCACTGCTTGGTAACGAGCGTCCGCAGGAATCACCTGGGCGCCTGTGTCACAGTCTCACTCAGCAGGTCCAGTGGGCTCTGAGATGATGCATCTCTCACCAGCGCCAAAATTATGGGGATTGTACTGATCTTTGGGTCACACCTTGGAGAGGTAAAGGGCTTGGAGAGGCAGTTATTGAAACTTCCTCCCCTCCTGGCACCTCTGGCTCATCCTACTGACCCTGAAGCTCAGGGGAAATTGTCCTCATAACTGCAGAGGTCGGTGTGTGCCCTTCCCGTGAGGGACACTGTCCTGGAATAATGAAACCAGATGTGATGACCAGAGTCTGAGGCTCCAGACAATTCGGGGTCTTCACACGACAGGCAACCTTCAAGTAGACCTCTGAGCCATGGATTTTAACAAACAACTCTCTTACTGCAGATGAAAGCCTCTAACGTCAACATCCACAATGATCTTTTCTTATTCTTTTTATGCATATTTTTAATGAATTTCATTCCACAAAAATGGATCTCGACACACACACACTGCAAAATACAACATTTAATGTTTCTAAGTTGTAGTCAACACTAACTTTTTTTTTCTTGAAGGGGTGACAGAGCAATTTGAAAACAACAAACAAAATGGATCTCCTGCAAAAATCATGAAAATGAGCAAATGTTTGTGTGCTGACAGCTGTTAAGAAAGTTTTAAGATGATTCCCCCAAGAGAATTTGGCTTCCACCTACAATTGTATTTACATTATCAACTGGCAAGGCGAACATGTTTTTCTTAGAAAGATGTAATCCTAGGTAAGTTCTAAACTGGTTGAATTTTAAATAAGGAGTTTTCATAAAGTCCACATTAAATATTTAAATCAAATAAGATACAATTCCCTTGGGTTCAGTTTGGTGATCACTGTGATGTTTTGGTTTGTTTCAATGCAATCATTATAAGTGTAGATTCACTTTTATTTAAAATAGATTTCATTGTGAACTGTATAAAGAAATTATACCCTCAAGTCATCTTTTATTCAAGTGTTTGAGCTTTTTTTCCCCTCGGTTCAGCAAGTATGATGACGCCAGCCATTTTTGGCTTGCTTCCATTTTACACAGTTCCTAGAGTAATCATCTTGAAAACACTCATCTTGCTTTTCATGTTTCAAGACACAATAATTTTAGAATGCCTAACCTGCCATCTCAGGGATGCACGTTCAAACATGTACATGCGCGTGCGCACCCACATCTGGATGGGTGCACACACGTGTCCACGCACTCACAACACTCGCCGCTTGAGCCATGCTGGGAGCCTCTCTGTCCCTCCCATGTTAACTTGACACTTACTTCCAGTCACGTGCTTCTGCCTCTCACAGAACTGCAGTTCAAAATACTTTATGAAGCAACTGGACGAGTCGTTAAGAGTTGTCTTGGCATTTCCGAAAGCTTCTAAGATGTGCGTGACCTGTAGCGAAGAGAAACATGTACTGAGCTGCTCGCTTTGAACAATGAATCAGGGATGAGCAAAGAAAGAGGGACTCTCCACTTTCTAAAGGGTCCTCTGTCATCCACACCGCGCCGTACAGGGCGTGCAAGTCACTCTTTCCTCAACTGCACACGCTGGCATCCTCTGTCTCCACGTGAGCAGGGTGACTAGGGGACCCTGCTCATTCCCTTCACCATTCTCTGCAGGTAAAAGGAGAAAGGCATCCTCTCCCCAAGCAAACTCCACACCTGTTATTTGACTTTTTAAGTGTGAACAGAACATTTTGTGATTTGGGGGAGGAGAAATTAGAATCAATATCAACACCGGTCAGGATTTCTTTTGAAAATAAGTTCTCTGGGCCTCCCTGGTGGCACAAGGGGTAAAGACGCAACCTATGAAGCTGTCCGCAGCCTCTGCAGCAGGAGTTCAATCCCCAGCCAGGGAGATACCCACAGGGCGCAGCAGACCTCTCCTGTCTCCCCGCTGCGCCCCCTCAGCAGTGGATTTCAGTGGATCTGCCTGTTCTGTTCCCCACTCTGTCTCTGGGGAATCCTCTTACCCCATGCACCTCTACCCTGCATCCCAGTTCTTGTATGCATAAATAAATAAATCTTAAAAAAAAAAGTTCAAAGCTTTCTTTCAAGACAAATGCAGTTCCTGCATCAGCCAGAAGAGGGAGCGTGACAATACCTTATTACTACCTTGGCTTGTTCATTATAATTTCTGTTGACAGCATTTTCTGAGAATTCCATTCTGAATTAAAAGAAAAAAAAACCTTTGCGACTAATTCTTTATTTCATGGAAACTGCCATAGTAAGGCACTCCAGTCTCCTGGAAGTAGTTTATGTTTTGAAAGATTACAAAACAACTTTGATGCTAATCACACATCAAAAATGCTCATAAAAGGAGTGAATATTAACAGTGAAACATCAATTTGCCTGCTTCTGAAGTTTGTAATATTGGAAAGAAACATATGTGTAGAGAGAAACTCTGTAACTTTGGACATTTTATATTAACTTAATTTCCAAGATCACAAAATAAATTGGTAGTAATGATGGAGTGGTTTCTGAAAAATAATTTGAAATAGTATTCATAAAGGTCTGACTATTTAATTCTTTTCCAATAATTTAATATTAAATGCATTGTAAAATAATAGTGTGATTATATCACATATATTACACAACATATCACATAATATTACCTTAAATAATTATTTTAAAATCCATATGATTAGAGTAAGTAAAAAAAACATTTTTGGCTTCTAATTATTTTGGTGCTGTATCTGATAATGAACTGACTTTTACTGTTATAGAAAAATGACTTAAAAATAAGTCAATGACATGTTCCCCAGTAAGTAGTACAAGGTAATGATTCAACTCATCAGCTTTGGAGGGAGAAGGCACTGCCCCACATTCCAGCTCAGCTTGTGACAAAGCCTATGAAATTGAGTCAGTTTCATAAATTCTCCAAATCTTGTTTTTCTTTATTCTAACACTAAAATATTATAAACAATAAATCAGTAAAGCGGCAGGCCGCAAAGTCAATATACAAGTTTGTTGCATTAGTATATGCAAATAATGAACTGAAAGAGAAAGAAAAGAATTCTAGCATCAAAAAGTATCACATAGCTAGGAATAAACCTAACAAAGGAGGCTAAAGATCAACTCAACAAATACTGGAAGGCACTGCTAAAAGTAGAAGAAAACACAAAGAAATGGAAAGATATTCCATGCTCATGAAATGCAAGAATTAACATTGTTAAAATGGCCATATTACCCAAGGAAATAAATAGATTCAACACAATCCCTATCAAAGGTTCAAAGGAATTCTGCAAAGAGATAGAGCAAACATTACTGAGGTTTTTATGAAACCACAAAAGATCCTGTATAACCAAAGCAATCTTGACAAAAAAGAAGAGGAATGGAGGCATCACAGTCCCAGAGTCCAAATTATCCCACAAAATATGGTAATCAAAACAGTGTGGTATTGGTATAACTAGACATACAAACCAGTGAAATGAGAGCCTAGAATAAACCCACATTCACATGGGGTGTCAATCTACAACAAAGAAAACAAGCACAAACAATGGAGAAAGGGAAGTTTCTTCCACAAATGGTCCAGGAAGACCGGACATCCACATGGAGAAAAACGAAAATAGGTCATTCTCGCATACCATACACACACACAAAATTAACTCAAAACAGATGAAAGATGTGGATGTAAGAGTGGAAACCATAAAATACATAGAAGAAAAGAGGCAAAACACTCCACAACATTGGCTCCAGTGATGTCTTTGGGAACTCGATGCCAACAGAAAGGAAAACAAAACAAAACAAAATGAACAAATGACATGACATCAAAGTAAAAGCTTCTGCACACAGCAAAAGAAACTATCACAAAAATGAAAAGACACCCCACTGAGTGGGAGAAAATATGTGCTGGCAGGGGCTGATGTCCTAGGGGCTGGCAAGGGGCTGATGTCCAAGATCTAGTGATACAAGGAACCCATACAACTCAACAAAAAGAAAATAACCCAATTAAAAACTGGGCAGAAGAGCTCAACAGACGTTTCTCCAAAGAAGACATACGGATGGCCCAGAGTCAGGGTCAAAAACATTAAACCTCACATCATCAGGGAAAAGGAAATCAAAGCCACAAAGAGGTAGATCCCATCTCACACCGGCGAGGACATGTGCACACGTATAAATATCCAATTCCGGTAACGCATGCTGGTGAGGGCGTGGAGTGCAGGGAACCCGATGGGAATGATGACTGGTCTGGCCCCTACGGGAAAAGGATGGAGGTTCTAAAATACAAGAACTACACAGACCATATCCAGCAATCTCACTTGGAGAC